ACTGCCCCCTGCTGGCTTCCAGGCCTCCGGCTATTCATGTCCTAGGGGAGGCTATCCTGACCCGACCCAGCCAAGGTACGGGTCCGACCACTGGTCCAAGCTTGACCCGGCCCTTACAAGGGCAGTGGGCTCGAGGATCCAGGGTCCTAGTCTAGCTGGCCTTCAGTCTTCGGTCTTCAGTCTTCAACTGCTCTTAACCTCTCCAGAGGTCCGCCTTATATACAGTTTCTATGCCGAGGGGCGGAGCTCTGTGGGATCGTAGAACACCTCACAGCCCCCACCCGTTGGGAGGGGCCACGAGGGATCGTAGAACACCCCGCAGCCCCCACCAGTTGGGAGGGGCTGCGGGGGATCCCAGGATACCCTGCAGCCTCCTCCCCCCGGGCTGGGAATCGTAACGGTTTTTCCCGCCGGCTCGCGGTACCGCCCCTGATGGGCACTGTCCGCCATTGCGGATAATTGCAGTCCATCTACGGCGCTACACACTTATTTATACGCGATCCGACGCTACACATGTAGAGGGACTCTTCTACTTACGAACGAGTTAGGTCCCCCCATCACATTACCATATATAGCTGGCGTTACCAAAAAGATTTCCAAAATCTTAAACAAACACAAGATCCAGGTCCGATTCAGTACAGTACACAAAGTCCGTGATCTAATCCCATCCGTGAAGGATGTCATTCCTGACATGCAATACCCTGGAGTCTACAAACTAAGTTGCACTTGTGGTGATTGTTACATTGGGGAAATGAAACGACATATATCGGACCATATTCGCGAGCACAAGGCAGATCTGAAACACGGCTGAACTAACTCCTCCGCCGTGGCTGATCACTGCTATGATGCTGTGGGCTCTCATGATATTGTTTTTTTCCGAGACCAAGGTGCTCTGCAAACCATCAGGCTACTATCAAAGGTTTGTTCATGAAGCCATCTAGATATATAAAATAGACATAACTTCAACCGGGAAGATGAATACAAACTGAGTAATCATTGGAAGGACGTTATTAACCAAGTAAAGTTATAACTGACTGTGATGTTTCCATCCTACCTGCCTGTTTCAGCTATTATTTCCGACTCTCCGAGTACATCACCAGGCTAAATATCTGTGTGGCAGCCCAGGCAGAGGATTCTCACCACCTCCGGTGGCTGGGGACCTTCTCACATTGACATGCTAATCTTTCACATTTACGTACAAATTCCTTCTCTAGCTCCGCACACTTACCCTTGGGTGAGGCAGCCCAGGCACAGGATTCCCACCACCTCCGGTGGCTGGGACCATCTTACATTGACATGCTAATTTCTCACATTTACGTAGAAATTCCTTTTCTAGCTCCTCCCACTTACCATTGGGTTGAGCCCACCAAAATCCGATATAAAGTCTTGTTGCAGCAGCTCTTTCTCCTATGTCAGCAGTTCTCCTGCTGTATCTGTTCCACCTGATGATGGTCACTTGTGTTGCCATCGAAACGTCGTGATTTAATTTATTTTAGACCTACGTGACTTTACCGAAAGAACCAAAAAGTCCTCTACTTACGAATGAGTTAGGTCCATGGACAGTGACTCTTCTACTTATGAACAAGTTATGTCCATAAGGGACTCCTCTACTTACGAACACGTTAGTTCCGTATAAAGGACTCCTCTTCTTACGAACGAGTTAGGTCCATGTGCAGGAACTCTTCTACTTATGAACAAGTCATGTCCATAAGGGACTCCTCTACTTACGAAAACGTTAGTTCCGTATAAAGGACTCCTCTTCTTACGAACGAGTTAGGCCCATATAAGGACTCCTCTACTTACGAACGAGTTAGGTTCATGTGTAGTGACTGACTCAGAGACACTAAGAGTAAGAGGCACTCTGTTTATTAAATGGCCTTAACAGTTGGCACTTGGCAACTACGGTTCCCAGTCAGGACAGCTGGTAGACTGCCTGACTGGCGATGCCGAGATGGTGAAGGCAGAGACGGCGGCGAAGACTCCAGCAGCACGACGAGGATCCCGTTCCACACAACAGCCCCGAGGTCCCCTCCCGGGGCCCCTCTTATAGTGTCAGTGTGGCCTGGCTCCGCCTCCGGCCACGCCCCCCTTCTGAAACCTACTAGCGGGTTCTCGATGTGCCCCTTCAGTGACCTTTCCCCTACATCCCTCTCTGGTCTATCACATGATCTGCTGTCAGTCAGGGCTGCTGTAAGCTGCAGATCCCCTTCCCTGCCAGCAGCCAGCACTATGCTGCTACGTGACCAATTCTATGTCACTACACATGTGTAGTGAGCCACTTCGGAGGCACTAGTAGTAGGAGGCACTCACATTTATTCTAGCCATCACAGGCACAGGGGATAACTATATAACTGGTCATGACAGCTGGCACACTGCCTGAACAAAAACGTCGAGGAGGTGAAGACGTAGATGTAGCACGATGGGTTCCATTCCAGACTGCAGGTATTGTGGTTAATGCATACATGAATCCTTGTAAAAATGTTTCAGTTTTGTTGCCAGAAAAAAGGGGAAAACCCTATAATTTCATTTTGGTACTGGCAAAGGAGGTTTAATGATGTAGATGCTCACCCCAAGCCCTCATTACTTTGATAGTGCATTGTCTTTGAGCTGTACGCCTTTTGGCGTCGTCTGGTCGAGCACCAATTGGGTCGAGGCTCAAAAGAAAGCCGTCCCTTGGTGTGGACCAATCAGTTTCAAGGACAATGCATATATTATCATAGTATGTTTTTTGTTTGCATTTTGACTGCAGGTATTGTGGTTAATGCAGACATGAATCCTCGTAAATAGGTTTCAGTTTTGTTGCCAGAAAAAAATGGGAAAACCCTATTATTAACTTCATAATTGTTTAATAGTATGTGCATGCATTATTCAAATAATTTAACAGCACAAAATGAATTCGTCATAATCATATGTTTTATCATTGGTAGAGCTATGGAATTATGGAGCATATGGGAGTACGCAGATAGGAGGTGGAGAATATCATTCTGGGTGTTCATGACAAAATGTCACTTTCATTTGCCTGTTTTCTTAACTGGACTCCATATCTCTTCCAGCACGCTGCAGACGATGGCCCTGTGGCTGAGATCGAGTCTCGTAATGCTGCTCTTGAAGTAGAAAATGCTGTTGCCGGTGACGTCTGCCTTAGACAGCCACCCACAAGAGCAGGGGAAGTGTCAGATGAGCTACATGGGACTGCCGGGGATACAGGGAAACCCTGGGATCCCGGGGAACCCAGGGAATCTGGGCCCAGTCGGCCCTACTGGAAGCAACGGTCGAGAATTAAAACAGGGCCAGCCTGGCAAGAACGGCGAGAGAGAAGACCGGGGGGATCATGGCGTGAAAGGGGACAAAGGGGGCGCAGGAGAGGCCGGTACCAAAAAAAACCCTGCACTGCCACTTGCACCATTTCCGGACATTGCAAAGTCTAGTACAGTAGATGTAAACTCAGTAGCAGCGCAGCTATGCGGTGTGTTTATTGCGTTTAGCAGACTGTTTGTAACACATTATTTTTATTTGATGAAGGCTATAATATTCAGCATTGCTCATATATATTTGTTAATACAGTATACATTTTGGGTATTTTTTTAAATGTTCCTACGAGTCAATGGAACAATTAATGCCGTGTTTTTTCGTAAAAACACAATCAGGCCCGTACTACACGTAGGAGTTTTAAAACATGGCTGTCACATCGTTGCAATTCAATTATGGTCCCATTTTTATGCAATTATATATTTACTTATGAATACAGTTTTACGAAAAAAAAACTTGCCTTACAGTAAATGGAAAAATAATTCTACGGGACATTTTCGCAAGTATCATGATGCCTTGTAATCGGTATATATATTTGGGGCTGGAACATCTTAACACCGCATCCGCGAACATAAAGCAGACTTGAAACACGGTAGGACGAACTCCTCTGCCGTGGCAGATCACTGTTATAATTCAGTGGGCTCACATGACATTGACTTCTCCAAGACAGAGGTTCTTTGCAAACCAACCGGCTACCATGAGAGATTCGTTCATGAGGCCATTCACATATACAAGCACAGAGACAATTTCAACCGAGAAGATGGATTCTGGCTTAGTAACCATTGGAAAGATGTTTTAAACCATTTCTGTTCTTAATTAATTGTATTTTACGATGACCTTCAGACCGCAGCTCTTTCGCCAGCATTGACTCTTAATACCTCTCACACCACGGTTAATGGTATGGTTTATAACATGGAGTATAATAGCGCCTCGCAGCTGTCTCTCTCCCCCTCCTCTGTTCCGACCATGGATGAACTCGTCCATCTGAACGGGGCCCGTAGCTATCCGTGGTGCTAAAGTTGAGGGTAAGAATCCACCCATTTTTTCGCCATATAGCACTGTGATATATAACGACTTATTGTTGGTAGCTTAGCTGATTGGAGAATATAGAGTTTATTGATAACATTAAGGTAATTTATATTTTAGTTTTTTTATTGGTTCACTATATAGTACTGTGAATAGCTCAGATGTGTAGGCCTTGACTTCAACATAGTCATTTCTGTGACCAGTCACTAGCTAATCACTCAGTTATTTAAATGCTAAATTCGCCTAGTTATTTCGATGCTAAATTCTCCTGTTTGATTTGTACTAAGTGCCTCGGTGAATGTGTATGCTCTGACTTTAACGTAGCTATTTCTGTGACCAGTTACAAGCTAATCACTCAGCTATTTCAATGCTAAATTCTATGCTAATTCCTTTGTCAAGGGGTGCCTCTGCGGATGTGATTGCTTTAACTTTTAACATAGCTATTTCTGTGACCAGTCACAAGCTAATCACTCAGCCATTTCAATGCTAAATTATATGCTAATTCCTTTGTCAAGGCGCTTTGTTTCCTCTCACATAGCTTAAAGGTCGTGATCTGAACGTGGCTCTTTCACTCCAGCGCTGTCCTACCAGACAGTCTCGTCCCTTCACCTGATGAAGGCCGCTTGTGTTGTGGCCGAAACGTCGTGAGAATATTATTGTGTTATTTTATTTTATCAATTTATTATTTTATTCTCATTCTACGTGACTTTACCGAAAGAACCAAAGAAGATCTTAACACCTGTTTTATTGCCAGAAAGAGTAAACGACCATTCTTCTTTGTTTCGTCATTCTTTACAATCCATTCGCAGGGTTGCCTGGAAAGATCGGACCGATGGGTCCCGCTAGAGAGAGAGGGGATCGTGGACTTCAGCGTGAAAAGGGAGACAAAGGAGAAGTCCCGGCTGCCATCCCCAGATCCGCATTCACTGTGGGTCTGTCTGTATCAAACCCTCCCAGCGGATCTCCCATCAGATTCAGCAAGGTCATGTACAATGAGCAGAATCATTACGACACGCTCACCGACAGGTTCACTTGCCATTTCCCGGGCATCTATTACTTTTCTTACCATATCACCGGAGCATCTGGCACCACCCAGGTCTCCTTGAGACACAATAGACAAGCAGTTCAGAATACATATTTCTAAACCAGCAGCGTTTACAGCCTGTCCGGCGCCTCAGTGCTGTGCTTGAGAAAGGGCGATGAAGTGTGGGTGCAGACCGAAGGTGCTCACATCAAGGCTTACACAGACGTTACCACTGACAGCACTTTCTCAGGTTTCTTGATGTACCCTGGCCTAACTTAACGGTTGCATTCAATTACTCGATTAGCTCTGCTGGAAGTCCGACACTTAACATGTAAGGTACGCGATGCAAAAAACACACAAATAGTACGTGAGCATACGTACACTATTAGACGGTACATGAGCCAACCCATACCTAGCATACTACCGGATCGTTTTTCATGGTTACGCTGCATAGAACTCCGATGTGCTTTTGGTTGTACCGCGTCTTGTTCAGCATGATGCCTGACGTTTTGGTCCAAGTGCTGGTAGCTTCTTCAGAATGCTTCTATCTGATAGGCAAAGAAAAGCTGTCAGCACGCACAAATTTACCCTGGCCGTGCATATTTGTACGTTTTTTAATCTGGAATCTGGATATTCACTTTTGCTATCAAGTACCAGCGAAAACTGCCATTAGCCACGAGTTAAAGACCAAAAAATGTGCTTGCTGGTTATAACAAGTGGACTCCCTTGCCGTCCAGCCTCTCTACAGAGGCTGCTGAATCCACAAGCTGCCAGCATCAGTCCTTCACGTTTGGCAATAACCATATTTTATTATGCCTCTCCATTCTAGTCCGTCTTCAACTCCATCAGTCCATCCTTTCTTAGTCGTCCCCTGCCTCTGTTTCCTTCCTCCACCAGCGTTGCTTTTGCTGGATTCCTGTTTGGTGGCCTTCCTCTGGCATGACCAATCCATAGCAGTCTGCTATTTTTAAGAATGTAAATACAAATATACACACGAACTGTGATCATGTATTTTCAAGGAGCATTAACCATCACGAGAATTTTGGTCATCCTCACAGTGGCGGCTTTTGGCTGGCCATCGAACAAAGATGGCCACTGCATCGCGCGCTTTCAGATGAGTTCCTGTGCAATCGGGAACGCTCTTCCTTCCGATATTAGGAAGCCACTTTTAAATCTAGATGAAATACTAATTTTTAGTATTGCGTTTTGTGTTTAGTTTGTTGCCCCCCCCCCCCCCGCACCTCCGATTAGCACGGTTGGCAACGTACGGTGCGAAATAAGTTCAGCATACTGCACATATAAACACATGTAAGCCATTTTAAATGCAACACGCAGGCATCTTCATAAAATAATTGTAGGGTTTTTTTGTATATTGCACAATGCAATACTCAAACGTTGATATTCTTTTTTGTGGAAGTATATATACGTGTTAATACAGGTATAAAAATGCACATGAACTCATAATTGCATACCAGTAGCCAAATGCATAAAATATATTATTCAACATAACACAATAGATGATAAGTACACAATTTGTGGTGACTTTATACAGACCAGATTTTAAAATGTTATCAAATCGGATATGTACTCATTTGATATGGTATGTTATATGGTGAAAGATAATATATTTTTAATCTTTGTATTTTAAAAATATATATCTGATGATTGAAAATGAATTAGAACTGTACTTTCTTTATGAATTCAAAATAATCCATTTGAAATGTAATTGTCGGTGTTTGAGAGCAATGCTGATGAGTATATGTCGAGAATGATTTAACATAATCAACAAGCAGACAAAATAAAGCATTACATTGAGTAACACGTTGTGTTTACTGTCTGTTTATACATTTAAGCCACTGCTTCAAGAACTATCATAAGAACAATCATAATGATAAGTCAATGGGTCCCACGTCATCATACTAATAGTCTCCTCTAAAGCAGTTTTCTCGTACAATATTTGGCAATAACAGGCTTTACAGGCATGGGGCACCGCTGTGGTGAGATGTTAACAACCTCACCTGGTATACAGAAGGTGGTGGGTTTGATCCCGACACAGGCGCCTGCATGTTGAGAGTTTGCGGGCTCTTCCCGTGGCCACGTGGATTTGTCTCCGGGTTCTCCGGTCTGTCCCCCCACATTTTGAAACAACGCGTTTAGAGTATTTAGTTGCTATACATTTCCATATGATAAGCGACTTAGTTGAGCAATCATTTGTGGCCAGGTCGCTTAATATATCTAACAACTTAAAAAACTCATAATTATAGCATAGTACAGATGTTATTTGGGAAGCATTGGTGTAGTGGTTTGCACACTGCAATACTGGACATCTGTGAAAAAGAGCTTCATAGCTCATCAGACTCGTTCGTTCGTTTCTCAATCCGCTTGTCCTGGTGAGGGCCGCAGCGGCAGCATGTTGAGTCGGGGGGTCAAGACCTCCCTTTCCCTGACGCCAGACTCTAGCACTACCTTACTATACACTACTACACTATACACTACTATACACTACACTATATACGACTATACATTACTACACTATACACTACATTATACACTACTATAAACAGAATCTAGCTCTTTCTGGGGAATTCCCAGGCGTTCCCAGGTCAGCCGAGCGACATCGTCCCGCCAGCAGCAGCGTGTCCTGGGCCGGCCCCGGGGTCTTCACCCAGCGGGACGTTGCTGCTGCTGCTGCCCGTAGAGTTCCAGGGGGGAGTCTTTCCGGGGGCATCCTTATCAGGTGCCCGAACCACATCAACTGGCTCCTCTCGATCAGGAGGAGGCATCTGATTCCTCCAGTCTACATAAAGATTTTGATTCTTAAAAAAAACATCTTAGTGGCGATAGATATCTAGACTCGGTCCTGAGCTACCATGTCCAGTGTACATTACCTATGGCATATGGATCAATGTGAATGCATACTTATCTACAGCCCCTTTCGTGAATTCACGACTGCATAAGGGCCACCCCTTGTCGTGTGGGTCACGGTGTTTGTTTCACCATGCTTCACGTTGACCAGTGTAAAGCGAGTGGCGCTTGGCTCCCACGTCAAGAACCCGCACTGACCAGCGGGGTCAAGTATGGCCACATAAGCCATACTTATGTGAATACTACAAATGTTGCAAATGACCAGTTCATGATTTCTGTATCACCTGAAGTTGCCTTGGAGGCGCAGATTGTTCTCAGGGTCCGCGTGATGCTGAAGTGCAACAGAATGAGTCCTAAAATATGGAGGGATCATCAGACTCAGAATATTGATTTATACTGGAGGAATCCGATGGGCTATAAAGCTCTTTTTCAAAGATGTCCAATAGGGGCGGGTCAGAACGTTACAACAACAAACAGTACAAGAACACGATAGTGCAAAGTACGAGGAAGGTAAACAAATCACCTAAACACACACAAATGCAACTAAACCATCCCCATCCTACCAGCCAAATCCCACTGAGGTATTGGCTTATTTTAAGAAGCGACCTGGCCACAAATGACGATAGCTTAACAAAGTGGCTTATAATTTGGACATTTATAGCAGCAAGTTAATCTAAATAATCTCAATGTGTGAACCGAATGGGATCGACTTGTTGTAGATGTCAGTTTGAGATCCAGCATGAGGTCGAGCTTAGAATTGAGCTGGTATGGGGTTGGAGCGTTGGGATCTTAGATGGGGTTGAGCAAGAATTCTAAATCGCGATTTTTTTGTTCTACCGATTCACGTTCAAAGCTGGCTGTCGTACTAGAACTGTAAATGTTGTGTTTACTCTCCAACACACCGGTGTGCTGTACTAGTAACGAATTGCCATGTTTTGTTTACGTGACAGTCCTTACTAGTTGGCTCTTTCAGATGGTGGCGAGTTTCACAACACATTTATATTTACGCGATCTAACCCAAAAAACGCACATTATGTTTTCCTGTTCCATAACTGAGCAAGCACACGCCCATGCAAGCACACCAGCACACATCAAGGTAACCTCATTTGGACATGACACACCTGCATTACTTAAGTATGAAAAATAAGAATTGGTCTTACCCTTTCTGGCAATAAAACAGGTGTTAAGATGTTCAAATACCAAATAGATACCATTTGCAAGGAATGAAGTCCGCATTCACCACACGTACCTGTGGCAAAATATGCAAACAAGCGTGCTCTGATAATTATCATAATATATGGATTGTCTTTGAAACTGATTGGCCTACACCAGAGGTGGCCGAGTCTCATCAGCGTTAGACCAGGGCGAACAGTAACAAAGACGATGCACGTATCAGAAGCATTTATAGCTCGGGTTGAGCAGTTAAGTAGATTACACCTCAAAATATAGATTACACCTTCTTAACATTATCATTATTTGCCATCTCGATATTTGTTATGGACTCATTACATTGCACAGAGATCAGCCGTACCATCCCGGCTACCCACTCGTTGGGTTCGCCATGAATAAAATCCCGCACGTCACCACCACGCAGTGGCGGCACGGGGAGTGTGTTCTTCGCTGCGGTACGATTTCCTACGAACAGGAATGTATTGTGACGCCAGGCGTAGTGTAGAAAACGAATCCGATTATCCGAGGGTTATCCATGAGTATTGACGGACCCTCTTTTTTAACCGGCATGTACTTGAATAAATTATGAACATTACTCATGCTAACATGTTATGTGATAACAGCGATTACTATTGATAGACGATCAACGTTATCAAAGGCCCACCTGAGTGATATAATAACGTCTTTATTTTATTCTTGCATATGGCAGTATGTCCAGGCGCCAAATGCCGAGGTCTGGTGGCCCACTAGAGGGATTCAGGAGAGAGATATGATAGTTCGTGTCTGAAGATGTTTGCAAGCCAGTGTTGCCATCCATTTAGTTCCAGGTTCTTGAGAAATTCTGTACACAGGCCATCACATCCCGGTCCTGTTGCTTGTTTATGCGAGTTGATTAAAGGTGATGATGGTGAGTTAATTCTGGGAAGCTTGTTTGATGAGCGTATCATTGGTGCTTTTGGAGATCTCCTCTTAACTGTGGCGATGTGAAGGATGATCATCATGGATCCCATCATCCGCAATTTGATCTCCGAATTTAATCCACTTATCTATTACATTTTTTGCAGATAATTACGGATAAATGGTCGTCAATAAGAGGTCATATATAATACTGGTGTTTCTGGTGTTAATTTGTATATGGAATACAGTAGAACTCTTATCCTCTGCCCTATTACCCACTGCTTCTATTACCTGTGAGTGCTATAGGGCCCACTAAAACTTCTATTATTTACACCTCAATTCATATTATTCCCCTGTCCATTATAGAACGTTTTACTTTCATCCGTTACTTTTTCTCGGATAGATGTTGTGTGGCAGATTTATTCTATTATCTGGGGGTTATCCATGGGTATTTGGACATATAGGCGGTCCACCGGTGCAGCATAACACCAGAACTCATAAAACTGTCTAAAATCGATGGTTCATTCAGCCTACTGAGACTTGCAAATAAAGGTCAATAATGGCCATTGATTTTGGTCCGTTGAATCGAGGAACCGTCCGACCAAGTCTAGGGCACGAGGAGTCAAATTTGCCTTTGGCATACGGAGAAGCCAATCGTCATCAGGTTGGGTGCTTGCTATACGTCAACAGACTGAGGCTTCGTGTTCAGCCCGCTCATATAAACGTTCTCGAGAACTGATTTTGAAGCACCACCATCACCCCGCAATATTTTCTGACCGGCGTTGCGAATCGTGGGAAAAGAAATAACAATACCTAAAATGTGCTGTTTTTATAAACCGCGCACCACCAATGTACCGCCAATACGTTCACATGCATTATAAAAGCTCCTGAAGTAGTGGCACACATCCTGGACAATATACACGGCAGATGACTCATTGCAATGCTTTATTTTGTCTATTTATGATATGAAATCATCCTCCACAAATACTATGCAGCATTCTTGATTTGAAGCTTGCGTGACTGCAGGAATCCATACTCTTTGGTTCTTTCAGTAAAGTCACGTAGGCAGAAGAAAAATAATAATAGATCACGACGTTTCGATCGCCACACAGGCAACCGTCTTCAGGTGTCTTCAGGTGACGACGGTTTGCATGTGTGGCGATTGAAACGTCGTGATTTATTATAAAAAATTCTACCTACGTGACTTTACCGAAAGAATCAAAGAGTACTATGCAGCTTTGTTTTGACACATCAACCATTACTTTTAAAATGTATTATTTTACATTTTGGAAAGTAATGCACAATAGTTGCAATACAATTGAAGTGATCAGAATGATTAAAAAAAAAATGTAATTTACAAACAACTAATCATCATTTAAAAAAAAAATCATAGAAGTACATATGCAACATTTGAATTAAATGTTTTTATTTGTATACAATCAATGCACATTGTTTTAGCAATAATTAACTCATCATCTATTATTATGCTTTATGTTGTGTCTTTAGCTATTTGTAACTGTGAGTCTATGTGAATTAATCTGAGAGCCATAGAGCTCAACCATGAACACCTACACACTGGCACGCCATGTACGTATATGCTGACGTATTGTCTCCCAGCCTACACACATTTCTACGTGCTGTTTACGTGCTGTTTTGCACCACACCTTACGCGTTCAACGTCAGACTTCAAGCAAAGCTATATGGAGCAGTTCTTAGGTTAAAAAGCGCCTGTTCAAGGCAGGTCAGGGTAGATCAAGACACCCGAGAAAGTGCTGTCAGTGGTAACGTCTGTGTAAGCCTTGATGTGAGCACCTTCGGTCTGCACCCACACTTCATTGCCCTTTCTCAAGCGCAGCACTGAGGCGCCGGACAGGCTATAAACGCTGCTGGTTGAGGAATATGTATTCTGAACTGCTTGTCCATTGTATCTCAAGGAGACCTGGGTGGTGCCAGATGCTCCGGTGATATGGTAAGAAAAGTAATAAATGCCCGGGAAATGGCAAGTGAACCTGCCGGTGAACGTGTCGTAATGATTCTGCTCATTATACATGACCTTGCTGAATCTGATGGGAGATCCGCTGGGAGGGTTCGATACAGACAGACCCACAGTGAATGCGGATCTAGGGATGGCAGCCGGGACTTCTCCTTTGTCTCCCTTTTCACCCTGAAGTCCACGATCCCCTCTCTCTCCAGCGGGACCCATCGGTCCGAATTTTCCAGGCAATCCTGTGAAGGGATTATAAAGAGTTTCTGCACATAGAAAAATGAAGCATTTGCTTTGGGTTGCTGTAAGTCATGATTTTGGAAAACGGAGTTTATTATTATTTTCAGACTTGTATTTATCACGAATATTTTTGTTGGTATTCATGACTGGCCCATAATTTAAGTGTAGACATTTTTTTGCAAAGTTCTACATTTAGTAAAAGCATTGTTCTATTTAAATTTTTGACAATGCCAGACTTCACTTGAATTATTTGCCTCAATGTTTTTAATGGGATATCAACACATTTATAAAAAAAGTTATATTTTTAAAAAACTTTTAAAAACACGCTTTAATGAAATGTACCGTACTAGTAATGGAAGAACTCCACGACTCCAAGAAATGGCCCTGAAGCTACCATAACGTAAGGGACCGTGGTCAATTACAGCCAACGTGAGTTGAGCGTGGACAATTATACCCAAGACGAAACATAACATATAAAAAAGAATGTTTTAAAATATATGTTTTATTTTTTTATGATAGAATATAGTATTGTCATCAGTATGACATAAGTATACCAAATTTGCAGTCGATACCACATTGGGAAGTGGATTAAAATTGAGTTACAAGATTTGAGGATACAACAACGATGACAACAACAACAGACAGAGTGAGTTAAATAAAAGCGTGTAAAAATCAGTCTTAGACGCTTGAATTAGGCAGAATATATCGCATATCCAAAAACATATTTAGGTAATGTTTAGAGGAGGACCTTTGTCAACATAGGAATACATTGGTCTAATAGTCTGCTTAATGCAAGAGGCACACTGAATATGTGTGCTGTCACTAGAGGTTACATCTACTGGAAGGCCCAGCATTGGTGCAGTAAAAGTGCAGGGGATTTACCGGCCTCTCCTGCGCTCCCTTTGTCCCCTTTCAGGCCCTGATCGCCCTGGTCTCCTTTCTCGCCATTCTTTCCAGGCTGGCCCAGGTGACCTTCTCGCCCGTCCCTTCCTGATGGACCGACTGGGCCCAGACTGCCTGGGTTCCCTGGGATCCCAGGGTTTCCCGGTAACCCAGGTATTCCCGTGTAGCTCATCTGACACTTCCCCTGCTCGGCGGGGTGGATATCTGTGGCAGCCTTCGCTGGCAGCAGCAGCATTAGCAGCAGGAGGCTGGATCCCAACCACAGGGCCATCTTCCGTAGCGGCTGCAAGTAACGAAGTCCAGGAACCATAGAGGCAAATGCAAAAGTGACATCGGGGTTATCAGCATCCGCAAGGATATTCTCCATATGACCCACAATTTTTTTCGGCCGACTGATGTTAAATTTAAAAGTAACCGTAACAGGTGCAACCCTGCAATTCCTTGCTCAAACCACTGCTGACAGATGGGCCTACACTTGTGAGCTCTGTAGAGGGTACTTTGCGTACTCTTCCACGCTGGGCAGACATCTTGCCAGAGGTGGGAGTGCCCACACTTTACCTCACCTGTCAATCGACTAACCTGTATCAATGTATAACTGCTGGGTGAACAGAGGCAGTGGGATTAAAGAAACTTGCACCATTATTTCAGCTGCAAGATAGAATAGAATCGATCACGTCTGGGTTGCAAGTCCATTGTGCCAACCTTTACACCAGGGCGGCAAGTCTCATCTGATGAAAAGGTCCCATTATATAACTCCCATCTGTCTACCCCATTATGATCCATAATTCCATAACTCCACCAATCATGTGAACACATAATGAAGCATAATGTACGCTCTGCTGTTAAATTGTTTTCAGTACTAAATTAGCAGACTGCACAAAAATTGTGAAATTGACTGTTTACCCAAATGTTTCTATGCTGAAATGAAGACACCGTTGTTTAATGCCTCCATATCGTTCACCTTGATCCTAAAATCAAGCGCCGAGTCTTTTGCACGGCTTCATTTTGAAGAAGCGCTCCCATGTGAAATTACAAAGCGATAAACAAAACATAACCTCACTTCATTACATGGTTCAACTAAAGCCACCAATTGATGTGTGGTTAGAATTGTGATATTAACTTAAACTTCGACCAGAACACAATGCTATGCGATGCCTCTAGCTGTGGCGTAAGAGAGTGATTGAGGAGCCATTGTGAAAGCCATGAGTCTATTTCCCCCACGGGCCGGGACTCGAAATAAACCGGGAATACCTCAAAGTTACGCGGACGCTGATACGACGCCGGCGGCCGCAACGTTCAAAGGGGAACGGCCCTCACTGATACTGAAGGTAAATGCCTCCTTTTTATAGCTGGGCCAGTAGGCGTGTCGGAGTGCCAGGGAAGGGAACGGGCTCAGGGTTGAGACATTTTGGGTACATGGGGGGGGGGGGGGGAACAGGCGCCGAGTCCATCGCTCCTGGCAGAGGGACTCTCTGGGTGCGCGGCTCGGGTGACAGCTGACTCGGACATCGCATTCGCAGTGAGGATCAAAGCGATGGAATTAAGCCTGATTACATTCGTGGTTTTTATGTATTGTTCAATTTCAGTACGCTGCAATCTTGCGCCACAAGTTCACGCGTGATTGTTCTCGAGCAAATTATCTGGATTTAAAGCTTTCGTGACTGCAAGGATTCATCTTCTTTGGTTCTTTCGGTAAAGTCACGTAGAATGAGAATGAAATAATAAATTGATAAAATAAAATAACACAATAAAATTCTCACGACGTTTCGGCCACAACACAAGCGGCCTTCATCAGGTGAAGGGAAAAGACCGTCTGGAGGACAGTCTTGTCTGGAGGACAGTCTCGTCCCTTCACCTGATGAAGGCCGCTTGTTTTGTGGCCGAAACGTCGTGAGAATTTTATTGTTATTTTATTTTATAAATTTTATTCTCATTCTACGTGACTTTGCCGAAAGAACCAAAGAAGACAAATTATCTGGATTGAGGATTAAACCCGTGCTTTCAAATAAATAAATAAAGAGCTGCGACTCACTCTGAATCGGTGCCCACGTGACTGCTGGTAATCGAACCACGTCAAGAAGCAGTACGGAGAGACGATACAATCTACAACTTCACCGCCCCATTCTTTGCAGGTCATCAATTAATGTTTTTTATATGCTAATTCAATGTTTAGCATTTTTGATATAAACTGTGAATTGTGACGCTGTATAGTTTATTCTATATGAGCGATTTTCATCACCTCTTGCAGCCGTGTCCCCTGAGTGGAGCCTGTCTTGATTACAAAATTAAGGCTGCGCCTGTCAAGGACTCATTCAAATGTTTGCGTAAATTCGTGGGAAAATCTTACATAACCCAAAGAAAATATTTGATGATGATGAAAAAAAAGTGGCATCTCGTGAAACAGTCCCAGTAAAAGCACTTGGTTTTCATCACGAAAGGTAAGAGTTTGTTTTACCTTCGTCTGTTCCCCTTCCCCCGCACCTCCGATTAGCACGGTTTGCTACGTACGGTTCCAAAGAAGTTCAACGTACATGCTTACATTCTCTCGGAGCAGTCATACCGTACAAGCATGCTACCTCATTCGCCATTGTCTCTGGCTGACTTTAAGTCCTTTTATTTAAGGAACTGCTATCAATGTGTGGATGCGTGTGTGCGGATCTACAACACCCAATTGTCTAAAGTTATGCGATTATGACCACTTACATTTCCGTAAAACCTCAGGGTCGGGTCATATGGGCTGACCCCATTGAGAAGTCTCCAGTTTCCGAATGTGTGTTTAGGTGTTTTTATTCCCATTTGAGTTTTTTCTTCCAATTCGTGAAACAGAAGTGCCCCCACCCCCCCCCCCCCCCCCTTTTTGTAATCACAGAATGAGCTCACGCACGTGTGCACCCGCGGATGCACACGCGTGTGTGTCGCGTGTGTGTAAGTATCGTGTGGATGTGAGAATGAGTGTGAGTGGGAGCGGCGGTGTAACGGTTAGCACGCAGCGCTACAAAACCCGGCGAGCCGAGTTCGATTCTCGCTCACGACCAACACCAGTGATGATTATCTGAACCAGTGATGATTTTCTGAACCGATCCTGGGCTTCTCCTAGGTCGACTCAGTCTCAAATGAGTACCTGGTGCGGTGTGTAAACATCGCCACTGGGGAGACAAAGGCGGTCGGGCGTGGTGCTGGCCGCCCTCCCCCTCGTGTGCTGTGCCGACCTTCGTAGGTGCTCGCAAACAGCACTTGCCCCAACAATCTGTTAAGGTTATGCGGAGGACCTTTGTCTTTGTGTGCGTGGGGCTGGTAACCTTTCCACCTTAATTACCTAACCAGTTAACCAGGGTGGACACAATGAAATGAGCTTGTGCCGGGGGGACAGGCATCTATGAAATTCTCATTTGGCAGACACGGAAAGAAACCACTGCGGTTGGCCACGTGGAATGTGCAAATAGTCACTGTGGAGGAGAGACTGCCATTGCTCTGGGGGAACGAGACCAGTATTTCCTACTGGTCCAGTTACTCTGGTGGAATACAGGCGATCCGGTTGATTGGTTGTGGCTCCAATCACCATGAGGTGTGAACAGTCCTCCACTCGAGCCAGGAACCTGCCAAACAACAGGGAGTGGCTCTTCTTCTGAAGAAAACAATGAGGGATAACGCGGAGGGGAAGTGTCGGACGTTGTGAGACTGCCCATCACGTGAAGTGGGCACATTTCTCTCATCAACGTAAGGTGAGGAATGGAGGTGATGATGGCTTATGCAACACGAATGATATCCTGTCCCAGGTGCTGTTTAAAGTGGTCTCCCTGGATAGAATCGTCTTATTGGGTGGCTTTAATGCCCGAGTGGATCGTGACACAAGCACCTGGGCTGGAGTAATTGGAAGGCATGGGCCAGATCAGCTCAATAACAATAGGAGGAGGCTGCTCGACGTATGTGCAGCTCACGGGCTTGTAATCACCAACACTCTGTTCCGGCATCAGCAAGAACATCTATATTGTAGTCACGGAGCAGCAGACGTGTGCCCACGCCCTTGACACCACGACCTACCATGGAACTGATCTGCCCACTGACCACTGGCTTGTCATCTGTAAGATGCGTCTGACATACTTCCACTGCGGTGGTGGTCATCCAACCTAGGACCCCATGCAAACCCCCAATAGCCTGGTCTCATTTAGCTGATGAAGGTTGCAAGCGAGGATTTCATCATCACTTACAGCTGGGGTTCGTATCGTTCCCCCCAACCCCTGCTTCTGATGCCGTTGGGGAGTGCGTGAGATTCAGAACTGTGGCTAATAGACTGTTGAGGCAAGTGGTTGTTGGTGATTACCTAATGAAGTCAACGCGTACACGGCATATTTGCATGAGACATAGTGCATAGTGGTATAGTGCATAGTGTATTGCTCTGCAATCAGAGTGACCTAGGTCCGATTCCTGCTATGCGCAATGCAAGTGGAAATTATCTGTGCCTTGGCCTGACCTAAAAACACATTCCTGCGGAGGGAGCTGGTAGGAACGTTGGGTTGCTCGGTCAATGGTGGCGTGGTGTATTCCACAAATATGCCCGACTGTGAGGGCAGGCACAAGCCGGCTTGAGTAGGTTAAACGTTGAGTTTTGTAAGGGCACCACGGGGTGACCAGCCCCTCCCCACCCAGCCCCACCCCTCCCACCCCCCACCCAGCCCCTCCTCACCCTCCCCACCCAGCCCCTCTCCACCCTCCCCTCCCCACCCAGCCCCTCCCCACCCTCCCCTCCCCACCCAGCCCCTCCCTCCCCACCCAGCCCCTCCCCTCTCCATCCAGCCCCACCCCTCCCATTTTTGGATGCACGACGGACGGACGGACACAATAATTCCCTGTGGGCTGGTGTAACCAGGAGGTTCCTACCAGTATGAGTGGATGATGCAATGGCCTGGCCAACATCAGTACTATATAAACAAAGTGTTGGCCACAAGGACTTACTGTGCGTTGCGCAAGCCTGATAGATGTTTGCTAACAGCAATTTCCCCATTTTGTCTATCTCGGCTAAAAGTGGAAATTATGTGCATTGCAAGTGAGAAGTAGCTTTCCATGCATGTGACTGGAGAAATTATCTTCTAACTTTAAGACACCACCCTTTAAAGTTTCCATTGCATGTTTAACGATGACAAATCATGCAGGAAATACCGTTTTCACGGGAATTAAAATTGCTCAGCAAGTCGCAGGAGGGCCACTCCTAATCATGTATATAATGCACACAGAAACCCCACTAAATCTTGACTTAAAGCTTTCGTGATTGCAGGAATTAATATTCTTTGGGTCTTTTCGGTAAAGTCAGGTAGATAGGTTCAAAGAAAATAACAAAAAATAACAAAAAAATTACGACGTTTGGATCGTAACACAAACATTCGTCATCAGGAAGAAAAAGAGGGGGACAGCTGCAGAGGCAGACTCTTTTAAAGGTTTAAAATGGGTGTAGCCCAAGGGTCATAAACGAAGTGGGCAGGGTTAGTGATGTTAATGTGAGAAATTAGCATGTTAATGGGAGATCGGAGAGCGGCCTCCGCTACGAGGGCGTGCAGGTGGCTATGTTACTGTGAGAGATTAGCGTGGTAATGGGTGAATGGAGAGCAGCAACGTTGATCTCGGTGAGTGAGGTGGCTGTGTTTCTTTGGGAAATATTACCTGTTAATGTAAAATCAGAGAGCCGAAAATAACATCGGAAAGTGGTAGGATGGGAACATCATAGCCAGTTATGACTTAAACTGGTTGATAACGTCCTTCCAATGATTGCTGAGTTTATACCCATCTTCTCGATTGAAGTTGTGTATGTGTCTGTATATGTGGATAGCTTCATGAACGAATCTTTGTTGATATCAAATGGGTTTGCAAAGTACCTTCGTCTTAGAGAAATCAATTTCGTGAGCCCACCGCATTAAAACAATGATCAGCCACGGCCGAGGTATTGGTCCTACCGTGTTTTAGATCTGCCTTATGTTCATGAACACAGCCCCAATGTAACTACTGCGGCAGACACAGCTTAGTTTGTAGACGCCGGGGTATTGCATGTCAGGTATTGCAACCTTCACAAATGGGATCAGATCACGAATTTTATGTACTGTGTTGAATCTTGTGTTTGCTCATGATTTTGGAAATCTTTTTGGTGACCCCTGCTATGTATGGCAAGGTGATGGTTTCGATTGGGTCCTCGGATGGTTCTTTCCCAACGGTTGGGGTGATAGCTTTTACGGATTGTGTATTCTGAATATCCATTCATCTTGAGAGCTTGGTGTACGTGTTTCAGTTCACTGGCTAGATGATGATGGTCGGAAATACATCGTCATGGAGGTCGCCCTCCGATCTTACAGTAACATGCTCATTTCTCACATTAACATCACTAGCCCTGCCAACTTCGTTTATGACCCTTGGACTACACCCATTTTAAACCTTTAAAACAGTCTGCATCAGCAGCTGTCCCCCTCTTTTTTTCTTCCTGATGACGAACGCTTGTGCTACGATCAACACGTTGTATTTTTATATATTTTTTATATTCTTTGAACCTATCTACGTGACTTTACCTAAAGACCCAAATAATAAGAAACCCCACTTTTAGCCTTAAGACAGCTGAGACAGTTGCTGTTATCGAGCACCTATTGAGGTCAGAATGCCAGATGCCGGTATAGTCGGCCAGCACCATGCATGTCTTGGCGACCTTTGTCTCCTTACTTGTGTGATGTTGACTGCACGACCGTACGTACCAGGTACTCATAGTAATCCGAGTCTAAACTCAGACCAAGGGACCAGAAAGCAAGGAAGCCAGCCACGTGATGTATAGCAAGGATAACAACCTGGATTAATGCGAAAGTAGGAGTGCAATGTACCGTATCAAACTGATAAGCCACTGTTACTCATCCCAAAAAAAACAACAATCCTCCATTATAGCCGTAAACACTGTGGGCACATGTTCCGTTAATTGAGCACCCATTAAGGTCCGAATAATGTACAGAGGGGTCGTGTTGACATAAACATGCCTGGTCACCTTTGTTAACCCAGTGCTGTTGGTCACATACTACTGCCAAAGTGACTTATTTTAGGCTGAGTTGAATTATGGCAGGCCCAAAATTGGACCACATATCGCTCGCCATTGATGTCAGCCGTTGCCGGGAATCAAACCCAGGTCATCAGGTTTGTAGTGCAGTGCGCCAAACACCAGGAGCACTGCTCTCCGCAACAAACAAACTACACACATCCACACACGTTAGCTTTTGGTTGGCCATCGAACAAAGACGGTCACTACATCGCACGCTTTCAGATGCACTTCTGCGACTGTCTGGAAATATCTTCCTTATGATATAAGGAAGTCACTAGAGTTGTACACTTTTAAATCATCTAGGTTTAAAACTAATTTCTTTAGAACTGCTTTTTGTGTTTAGTTTGTTGTACTTCCCCTGCACCTCTGGTGAGCACGGTTGGCAACGTACGGTGCGCAATAAGTTCAATATACATACAAATGCATCACCAACTCGCACTGTTATTACAAAACAGTCTGGTAGCAGAAGAACTACTTCTGTTTTATGATGTATATCTGATCAAATATTGCACATTCTAAAACTCGTAAGTTCTCATTGTGGTAAATCTCGTTTACCAATTTCATCATGCAACCCACGGGACACTTTGTTCACACACACATTGATAGAGCGGCAATGCAGCGGTTAGCGTGCTGCGCTACGAATCCAGCAACCCGAGTTCGAATCCAGCAACCCGAGTTCGATTCCCGCTTATGGCGAACACCAGTGACGATTATTTGAACCGGTCCTGGGCCACCCCTAGGTCGACTCTGCCTCAAATGAGTACCTGGTGCGGTGTATAAAATCATCGCCACGAGGAAGACAAAGGTGGACGGGCGTGGTGGTGGCCACCCACCCCCTCGTGTGCCGTGCCGGCCTTCATAGGTGCTACTCGCTAACAGCACTTTCCCCAACAGTCTGTTAAGGCTATACGGGGGATCTTTGTCCTTTTGATGGCATTTACTGGTAGAATGTGCGTGAGATGACAACTCAGACACTGCGGTTATTATTGCCACTGCTTGTTGTGTGACAAACAAGTGCTTTCGTTTGGAGGTTTTTTTTTTAGCAGATATAAAATTTGCATTTAACAAAATATTTTTAAGTTTATTATGCAAAGTCTCCTGTATATGCATATATATAACAGGATCACTGCGTGATAAAATAGTGCTATCCGTGGGAGGTATAGCTATGTGATGTACGGCCTATTTGTCACTGCTGGAATAGCGTCTCTCCATGCCATGTTGTTTGACCATATTTCACCATGCTGATCATAATCAGAATCTTTATTTAGACTGAAGGAATCCGATGACCTATGAAGCTCTTTGCGGGTTGGCCAAGTGAGGAAACTGTTCAGAACCGGTTTTAAATATCACTCGCAATAACCAGTTTTAGCAATTATCGTAAAATAAAATTCAAGTTGCCGGGGTTCAAAGGGCAGTGTGCTAACCACAGCAAAATCCCTCTAACCCGGTCACCGATGGCTCACATCCTGAAAACATCTCCGTGGACCAATCTGTTGTCTGCACATCATATTATTGCTATTACCTGTGATTTGAAAGCGGCCTCTTTGAAGCCAATCATTCATCCTGTTATCCGAACTTTGTTGATAATAGCATCAGACAATAGCATCCCAAAACATTTGGCGCTGGTATGAGGCGTTTCACTGAAGTAGTTTAATGGGGTTTTTTATTCTCACAAGCAGCATTGTGATGATTACAATGTTGGATAACTTTTCTTGATATGCCTGAAATACGCCTTTGAAAAAGAGACCTAGGAAAATATTGGGAACTTAGGTCAGATCCAAAAACCATGAAAAGATAAAGAGTTTTGTGTGGAAATAAATTTATTAAAACGAAGAGGAAAATATATTTCGAATTAGTAAAAGTGCACAGTATAACAATGCAAAATATGCAAATATAAAAAAGCCAACACGAAAAGTTACATCAGCTATCATCGTCATCATCACCGTTAACATCATTATCATCATCCAAAATTACTTCATATTGTTACATTTATTTGGAAATAAACGCTATGAGGTGAAGCAGTAATGCAGTGGCGTGCGCACAGCTTTATGCACCCGGCGACCTGAGTTTGATTCCCGGCCGCGTCTAACATCAGTGGTGAGTGATAGTAGAACCCACCACTCCCCCTTCACCAACCTGGCATGAGCGCCGTGTTGCTGAAGAAGCGTGGGGAGGCCTTCAACATTGGGGGAAGGCCTCCCCATGCACCATGGATGATCAAGATACTGTGTAGGGTGCACACATCCACACAATGAACCATCCACACATTTCCCCCCAAGAAAAGCAATTATCTCCAAAACTAAACTATTTCAACATAATTTATATTTATAAAAGCGCCCTTAAACAATAGTTCTCAGGGCGCTATAATAGAAACGTGAGGGAATATTTTAAAACATTCAGACAGACGAGCAAGAAAAGTAGGGGAAGATACCAAAAGGAAACAAAGAGCTAAACAAGAGGAGAGGAGAATCCGAAGGCGGCGGGAGGCAAGGGCGATGAGACGAGATGCCGGCGTCACCTGCCAACCCAGAAATCAGAATGTTTATTTTACCAGGTAAGGGCCCACTGAGCTACGTAGCTCTTTTTCAGAAGCGACCTGGCTATCACAAATGATAAGCTCGACGAAGTGGCTTGTCGTGTGGAGATTTATCTCAGCCAAATACTCTTAAACGTACGTTTTTAAATGTGGAGGGGTAAAAATCGGAAGACCCGGATAAAAATTCACGTGACCACAGGGAGAACATGCAAACTCCAAATATACAGCAGGCGTCAGGGTCGGGATCGAACTCACGTCCTCCTGCATACCAGGCGAGGGAGTTACCATCTCCGAGCCACCGTAGCGAGATCTCACAGCGCCGTGGTGGCCACTTTCGGCACCGTCCCTCATCTTTTTGTCAATGCTTGCTCCAGCTGCTGCCTCAGCGGTAGCGTCCATATCGGCTCCATCCCCTTGTCTCGCACTGGTTGCCCTGCCGATACCGAAACCTCCGACCGGTCCCCCCCACCGGCCACTCGCTTTGGTGCTCCAGCACCCTTCCACCTCTTCAGACCCAATCCTTGCTCCGGCAATTGCTCCGGCGCCGGCTGCTGCCCGGCCCTGTGGCGGTGCAGCGTCTTCATCCGGGCGTGCAGCTGCAGGACGCGCCTGCTCTCCACCTCGGGGAAGAAGGAGGCGGCGATCTTGCGGCGCAGGCGGTAGGCGTACGAGCCCAGGAAGACGAGGACGAGCGCCAGCAGCAGCAGCGCGTACACGCCGATCGTCGCGTGTGGCGCCGGCGGGGACAGCTCCGTGTGGCACCGAGCGAACTCCAGGGTGAAGTTGGGCCGACGCAGCACTTTCGTCAGGTAGCGCCGGTTTTGAAACGTCTGGTCGATGTAAACCTGCAGGGCCCCACAGAGGGATTCATGATGATCATGGTGCTGATGGTGCTGATGATGATACAACTAGGATTTTGCATTGGCGATGTCGGATTAGCCGAAGGCGGCGTTTTCTAACCGATGGAAATTAATTATCGGAAACTATTTAAGAACTTCATAAAAGAAGGTTGCGTGGAGGAAAATTAATGGCAAACACGGCAGGACATTTATACCTTGGCAAAATTATTAAAATCTGATTTAAGATACAACCAATTAAATATATCGGTAAACAATAGGATTAATGTATATGGTGCTTTTTCTGGAAGATTTAATTGTTTTTATAGAGGATGTTTAAATTTGCGTGCAGTAAATTTTAAATGTATCTTGTAATTTTATTGTTTGTTGCGGTTGCACCCGAATAAAGAGCCGAATGGCTCACAGGGTAAAACCAAATAAATGAAACTGAAAAACTGACGCTGATGAATTTATCTTGGAAAAAAATATTTGTTCATTAAAAATAGCATTACATCATTGCCAGCTATGACGGACTGACCAGAAACATTGACAAAGATAATGGGGAAAAAGCTGAAATGTGCACAAAAAGAGCGTGGAAAGGTGCACGCTTGGCATTACACTGACACAGGAGGAGGAACACGTGGGTTCGAGAAAAGTTAGAGACAGGGTTGTCTTATCATCCCCTTGGGCTGTCCCATTCTATCAACGAAGCTCCCCTTACTGCTTTCTCCACCATTTGGCGTGGTCCCACCTCTGTTGGCCAGTCTCAACACTCAACAGACACCCAACAATACTCACCACTCAGCCCACAAAACTCATCACTCACCCGACACCACTGCTAAATCACCCACATGACATTCAAAAGATATCTGACACTCACCAGGCGCGACTCACTAGATACCTCACCACTCCCACGACACTACCACTAATCATTCATCCACCTCTCTCATTCGTACCTTATCCAAGCACGCATTCCTCTTATTCATTCTTATTCTTACCTCATTCAATCACTTATTACTATCATTATTTTTCGATTTAAAGCTTTCGTGACTGCAAGGATTCATCTTCTTCGTGTTGTGGCCGAAACGTCGTGAGAATATTATTGTGTTATTTTATTTTATCAATTTATTATTTTATTCTCATTCTACGTGACTTTACCGAAAGAACCAAAGAAGACTATCATTATTATCTCATATAATAACTTATTCTTCTTATTCATTCTCATTCTCAACTCATTCACCCAATCATTCCATCCAGCACCTCCCGCGAGGCTCCCTGATACTCTCCTGTGACCTCCGGCAGGCCCAGCCATTGCTAGGGACGCCTGTCAGAATCACTATTCATACCGGAGGAATCTGATGAGCTATAAAGCTCTTTTTCACAGATCTTGTTGCTCGGCTGATGGGCCTTTCGGCCAGCAGAGAAACGTTTGATTTGGTAGTACACAAGCTTGTAAGAGTTGATAGGTTTTTTTTTTAAATGCTGCAGTCCATATGTAGTGACATCGGGGACATCGGGGATGTCACTGAATGGTGCTAGCCCGTGCCGTTCGATGTTCATGCATCGTGGACAGCATCGTGGGGGTGGCTGTGTGTAGTACCAGCCCTAACGGGGCTTGGCGAGCACTGGGATAGTGCGGGCACCACGCACAGCGTGTGGTGGGGGCTCCCCCGAGGGGGAGGGGGTGAGTGTGAGCCCAGGGGCAGGGTTGCCCCGGGCCGTGGCACTCTGGTTGACCCCGTAGACACGTGATTGGGACTGTCCACACAGGGGGCCCCAGGTGGGGGGACTAGTGGGTGATCACGTGTCCGGGGAGAGCTCTTGAGAAGGTTGGAGAGGGAACGAGAATGTTCAAGAAGGCGGGCAGGGCCGAGGGCAGTGCGGCCCCGACCGGAGAGGGATATAAGGCGGGTCCCTGAGAGGGACCGGGGTTTCTTCGTTCTACAAGCTGGAAGCTCTGCGTCTCAAGCTGGAAGTGCTTTTTCCTACGAGGGACCGCGTGGTCGGAGACCCGAGTGAGGGTCCGACCCTTCGTGGCAGTAACTCCCTTGTATAGTGTAGTTAGCTGGGTGGTCACCACCCGAGGTTGTGGCCTGGTAAAGGGGCAGTTACCCCTTTGTGTTACGGTGTTACAAATAAAAGTGTTGCCCCTAAAAGGAACAATGTCTGCAACTCAGTTGGACCCACTACACATATAAGAACATTTTTAGTTTTTCTTCTTTGGTTCTTTCGGTAAAGTCACGTAGAATGATAATAAAAAAGATGAATCATTGCAGTCACGAAAGCTTTAAATCGAAATTTTTAGTTTTGTGCCCATAACTCGGCAAGGTCTGGTGGCCTAGACTAATGATGGAGTGGCAGCCCTAAGTGATATCCATTTTATTGACCACAGACGAATGCTGGGCTGAGTCGACCTCCAAACCAGATTTGAATTCACAACCTTCCGTTGAGCACTCTTAACTGCAGTGCCACTCAATCAAACATTTACACTCTGGGATGCTGCTGTGGTGTAAAATGGTTAGCACACTCGACTTGCAATTCTAAGGGTTGCCGGTTCGACCTCAGCACGGCAGTTGAAACAACGGTGCCAATTTATTTAACCTATCCCGCGGGGCTCTGTCTACCATGGAGCATAAAAGGGGTCACCACAGTTAGTTTAATGGTAAGTCTCGAGTTTTTTTTTAATGGGGGCCCTTCCACCAGCAATGGCATGAGCAAGCCATTTTAGGGCCACACTTTTTACCTTTCTAATGATGAAATAGCTTGAGACAAAGATCCCTCTTATAGCCTAAACAGACTGTTGGGGCAAGTGCTGTCAGCAAATAGCACCTATGAGGGCCGGCACAGCACACGAGTTGGTGAGTGGCCAACACCACGCCCAGCCGTCTTTGTCTCCCGAGTGGTGATGTTTTACACACCGCACCAGGTACTCATTTAAGGTGGAGTCAACCTAGTTCGATTCCCGTGAGCAGGTATCGAATTCTGATCGCCGGGTTAATAACGCAGCGCGCAAACCGCGACATTACAGACTCACGTACGTGCCTCATAGTAGAGTCGCACTTCGGCATGTGCCGGTGGGATGGTATCGGCCAGGGCGAGCAACGTGTCGGTGAGAGCGTAGACCCCGTACTCGACGCCGATTGCAAGGGACACGAGGAGCAGCCAGGTGAAGAGGGTAAGGATGCTTAGGGGCCAGTTCTCCGTCTCCTTCCTTGACAGCCTCAGCGAGGTGGAGTCGACAAGCTGCCGCCTGCCATCCGCCTTGAGGCACCTCATGGCCTCCCCGCTTGGGTCGGTCTGCCGAGCCAGCGCGCGCAGCTCCTCTGTGATGTAGATGTTGTCGAAGAGGACGTTGGTGAGGTAGCTCCGCAGGTAGGCGGCCGACAGCGCGAGCACCAACAGCACAGACGCGACGGAAAACACCGTGCTGAGCACCGCGCGGACCTTCTCCACGGTGGCCTGGAACGTCTTGAAGTTCGCCGCAACGTTGCGCGTCACGTTCTCCACCTTGAGCCTCAGCGAGTCGAGCTCCGTCGAGACGTCTCTGGTCTTGACGTCAAAGACGTAATTTGACTGGACGGAGTGGAACTGCAAGAGGCCCTTGACGGTCTGCGTCTCGACCGTGGCGTATTCGCGCACGACGGCCTCCCTGCGCGCCGAGTTGTTGATGACACTGCGGATGCCGCTCAGGGCCTTGCACAGGGACACCTCGCCCAGCGCCCTGAGGTTGTGGAACGTGTTGGGAGCCGTGTGGACTGCGAGCAGCCCCGCCGCGGCATACAAGATGTACTCGCGGCCACGCTTCGTGCCCAGTGCCGGCACGACGAGCAACGAAATGCAGCGCAGCTGCTTGGAAGAGAAGAGCAACGCGGCAGTCAGGGCCACGTAGGTGGTCGTCACGCCCAGGCGAATGGGTGGCCGCACCTCCTCCGCCTCCCACACCACCTTGAGCACGAAGCAGCTGCTGAGCGTGGACGTTAGCAGGCACAGTGCGAGCAGAAGGCCACGCTCGCCCCGCGTAGTCGCGTGCGGCAGGCGGTACACGGAGTAAGCGGCGCGCAGGAGCTGTGCCGAGGCACAGAATGTCACCTTCGGCCGATCGCGCGAGTCATTCATGGTGGCGAGCGGCGGTCGATCTGTGGGCGGAGAGATGCGCAGAGGCTCCTTCTGGTTAACGGAAATCCACGTTCGCACACGCTCATAGCGTGGCATCCTTCGATAATTTTCATAGGATAGGGCCACTTTCGCTAATAAGATATCATCAGCGTGAGGGCCATCACACATTTGAAACCATTGGGGTTTGACAGCACGATGATGGGGTGTTTTCACATGTGTACTGTTGGAGGCCGCACGTTAGGGGCCGCACTGAAGGCCACCAGGGACCGCCATTGGCCCGTAGGCCTTGCAGTTAAGAACAGTGTCCTATACTGATTGAAATTTAAGAATAGCCCATGGTGTGACTGAGGTCATCAATCTCAAACCATGAAGCACAGAGTACAGCGCTGCCTTGTTCAACCATTAGCCAGCATAATTTCAGATATTCATCAGACTGCTCCTGAAGCTATCCACCTTGCCACTGAACATGCTAACATTGCCGATCAACACTCAACCATACGAAAGAATGGGAAAGCCAATCGGTATAAAACGCGTGTTTGATGAATTCCCAAGAGACAATATTTATGTAATGAGATATATAGGGAAATAGGCATAATGTTCAACTAAAATCATCATACGACTATTAAAAATAATATATACCTCCAGTTTCTGGCTGGCTACTGGCCGGGTTGCGGGCCGTTTCTCACAAAACTAGCTGGGTAGCTGGCTGAAAGGGATTCTCCGTGCAACAATTAAAAATTTACATGAATTGAAACGGCACAATTTTGGAAAACTTATGACAGCGACACCGAAGAGCTGGGAGTAACATATACCCATGACTGACACGTTTTTTTATTGCTCAAACTGCTAGGAATGTAATTATTTCACAAGAACATTATTTAAATCCTCGAGAATATACAAAAACATCACAATAAAAACATTACTTTTAGTACTCCGATTACAGGATTGCAGGAAGATTAAGAATGACTGCTGTCTCTGATTTTAAGTAAAGTTAATTTTCACACTATTTTACCTTTTTAAATTATATTTTACCAGGCAAGGCCCACCGAGCTATATAGCTCTTTTTCAGAATCGACCTGGCACATAAATTATAGCTCAACGAAGTGGCTTATCATTTGGACATTTACAACAGCCAAATTCTCTAAACGCATGTTTCTGAATGTCGAAGAGAGAAAACCGGAGGACCCGGAGAAAAATCCACGCGGACACGGGGAGAGAGAAACGCAAACTACAAATATACGGGCGTCAGAGTCGGGATCGAATCCAAGACCTGTATACCAGCAAGTTAACAAACACAGCCCACTTCATCTAGCAGTGGTTTGAAAAATGACTGTTGAGAATAATTATTGTTATTACTATATAGAACATGACATAATCGTGAGTCATTGAAATCAGTACATGTGAAAAAGTTAACCTCTGTTTTTTTCACGAGTAGAAGTGTGCAGCTTACTTTGCTGAGGAGAGTGTTTTCTCATAGCTGAGTCTCGTCTTCGCATGAGCGACCACGAGGTTTCTCCTCCAAGACACCTCTTCAGGAGGAAGTAATTTTTTTTAAGTTGTTGACAGATTGCAAAACCATAATCTCCGTCTCAAAATGAGAAAAGAGGAAATTCGCACATGACGTACCTACCCCCGGTCCCTTTTCCGTGAGCTGTTGGTTAATGATCGGCGCAAACAGCAAGGTTTCGCCAGCATGGGAACACGTCGATGTAGGTGTCATGTCACTGAAATGCATTTTTTTTTTAATTAATCTCTTTATTTTATTAAAGAACGTTTCAATTGCAGGTGACACTATGACCTTGTTTTGTAAATAACTGTCAGGTTAATGTAGGCCGTGCAATTACATATAATTAGTTTGACTTGCAATGTTCTAAAATTGTATGGTGTAAAAATCTGTATTTTGTTCATTTAATTATACATCGTTTGCTGGTACTGTTACTGGTGCTCAAGCACAAATAACAAAATAACTTTACACATTTGTGAACAAAAACTTCCTTAAAATATTGTTTTTCCTCTTAAGGCAGTGTTATTGCACAAATAATAAAATAACTTTACAGTCCCCACCAAAACTTCCTTAAAATATTTTAGTTTCTCTTAAGGCAGAGTTATTGTGCAAATAATAAAATAAATGAACACACTCGTCAACAAAACTTCCTTAATATTTTTTTTCCTTTTAATGTAGTGTTATTGATGAATGTGAGCATTTCGTAGGTTTGTTTAAAGGTTTGTCAATGAAAAATCAAGCATTTTGGGTATGTACGTTTGTAAACATTTTTTTTATCACATACTGTATAAATGATGTGTATTTTCCGTATTTCATGTGTTACTTGGTAAGTGTCGGAGAATTTTGATTTATTTTTAGTGTGCATGTGGAGCTAGTCTGTTCTCCTGTAACGCGTCGTTTTCATAACGTGAAATGGATATAACGCGATTAATGTATGAGGGAACACATTTTTTATAATGCAGATGCAAATTGGACATGACGCGATTGAGTATAAATAAGCGGTTGTACGGCTGCCTCAGCATAGTATCACGCAAGGCAGGATGCTGCTCGATGCTTCGAGATGCTACGTGTGTACGCATTTAATAATAATGCCATTTATAATGCGCGCAGATTTGCGGACGTAATGGCCGCAGCTTAGAGGCGCGGAGCCAAGCTCAGTCACTCGAAAGCGTAGTTGTAGAGGTAAGTTTTTAAGTGTCTCTTGAAGGAGACAATTGAGGTGATGCTGCGAATGTGTTGAGGGATGGCGTTCCAGAGTGTTGGGGCTGCCACCGAGAAGCGGCACATAGACGTGATCGTCCTGGATCTTGGTATCAAGAGGAGGTTGTGAGTCGCACTGCGCAGGCATCTGCCATGTGCTGTGCCACAAGTCGTCAATAATGAAGAGAGGTACGGGGGGCAGGCAGATGTGAAGGCGCGGTGGCAGAGGCAGGCGATCTTGTATGTGACCCTGCTGGCGATGGGTAGCCAGTGGAGGGCACGGAGAGAGGCCGAGCGAGTCGAGACGGGGATGAGTGCGGCCAATGACGACGCGCGCCAGGTCGTTTTGAAGTCTTTGAAGTTTTTGAGGTTGCCAGAGGATGACTGGACTAGGACGGAGTTGCAAAAGTCGAGGCGAGACCCAACTCTGCAACATGCCAATGTGTTGGCAGTTTCATTGAGAGGACGTAGGTGTCTGAGAGCCTTCAGATGAAAGTTACATGAACTGATGATATGATTGGTTTGATGGTCGAAGGATAAAGTTGAATCTAGGATGACACCGAGGTAGCTGAAGTGATCGGTGAGCCTGATGCTGTGACCAAAGATGTGTACGTGTGTCGGGAGCACGGATGAGTTGAGACGTTGCCTGGTACCTAACATGATGGCTACTGACTTTGACGTATTAAGGGCAAGGTTGTGTGCAGAGAACCACTGTTGCAGGGCAGTGGTGCATTCCGAGAGCCTCTCAAATCCAGACACATTGGTAGAATTGATGGCGGTGATCAGAATAGTGTCGTGGTGCTTAACACCGAAGCTTGCGATGAGGCGTCCGATCGGGGAAGGGTAGGCCGTGAACAGCAGAGGACCGAGGACGGAGCCCTGGGGGACGCCACATAACGCTTGTTTCAGGAGATGTGGATGAGCCCACCCTGACTGAGGATTGCCGATCAGAAGGTACGACAGTATCCACTTGAGTGCTGAGCCACATATACCGAAGTCGGATTTCAGGAGGGAAGTAAGGAGCAAGTGGTTGATGGTGTCAAAGGCTGATGAAATGTCCAGACTTACAAGAGCAATGATGGAGCCGGAGTCAATGATCATTAAAATGTCACCGAGGGCTCTGGTGAGTGTTGTTTCTGTGGAGTAGTTTTGACGGTAAGCTGACTGGAAGGAGCAGAGGTGATGTGGGGTTTTGGCTGGGCAAGGGCAAGTCTTTTGAAGAGTTTAGAGAGGTTCGAGAGATGAGTGATGGGACGATAGCTAGACGGGTCATCAAGGTCGAGACTTGGTTTCTTTAACAGGGGAGAAACCAGGCCAGATTTGAGGTTGGATGGAAAACACCCCATAGAGAATGAGGCATTTGCGATGTTCCTGATCATGATGGCGAGTTCCGGAGCACATTGCTTGAAGAAGGAACCTGGGAGGACGTCGAGTGGAGATGACTTCATATGAAGTGATTGAATCAAAGAGAATACATCTTTTGAAGACACCAGCTTGAAGGTGGTTAGAAAGGTGTCTGGGTGAGTGCTTAAAATTTCAGAAAAAGGGAGAGGGGTACGATGGTGCAATGTGAGGGAAGACGTGCATAAGTTTGCGATGGTGATCAGCTTGTTGGTGAAGTAAGTTTTGAAGGAGGTGGCAAGTTTCAGTGAGGCCAGGGGATCGCTAAGGTGAGGGACCATGTTGTTACCAGGATGTAGAAGATCCTTGAGTATTTTCCAAAGGATGCGTGGTTTTCCGGTAGCTGTTTTGATGCGTTCTTCAATGTAGGAGAAACGTGAGGCAAGGATAAGTTCGTTGGTTTTCCAAGCAGGCAGCTTTGCAGGCAACTCGATCAGCAAGAAGACCACTGCGGAACACGATCCTTTCAAGGCACCTCCTGATTCGCTTAGCAAGGATGGCATCTCTTGAGAGCCAGCGAGCGTCGTGGGAAGGCTGCCTTGTGGTTCGTGGTTTTAATGGTGCCAGCTTGTCCAGCGCTGCCCTCAGGTCAGCTTCTAGTTGAAGAGCGCATACAGTTGGATCGGATGATGGGGATAACATTGAAGGTGAAGTTGCGAGGAGGTGCTGTAGAGTGGAAAACTTGATACCCTTGAAATTACGGGAGTGGCGTGTGATTTTGATGGTGATTGGCTTGGGAATTTGAAGGAAAAATAGTATGAGGTGGTGGTTGGTGTAAACCAGTTTGGAAAACTCCCAGTGCTGAGATGCGACGATCCAGGTCAGGTTCCAGAACCAGGTCGAGCATACTCTCAACATTTGTTGAGGAAGCTCTGGTGGGGCCTGAGTTGGTGATTTCCAGGTTATGGCAGGCCAAGTTTGACTCAATGGAGGCTGGGGTAGTGACGGGGCAGTCAAAGTCTCCAGTAAGCACGAGCCTGTGAGATGGGTTAGGAATGAAGTAAAGAAATTCGGAAAGCTCGTTTAAGAAGGTCGTGATGCTGACATCTGGAGGGCAATAGATGGAAATGAGGGAAAAGCACTCGGTGTTAGTAGTGAGGGACACGGACTGGACCTCAAAGGTGGCGGGAACCATCGGTAGATAGAGCTCTTCAATTTCCCAGTGAGCATTGTGGATGACCGCTAAGCCACCACCCCACTGGTTAGTTGCGCGAGGTTTGTGAAGAACCTTGTATCCCGGGGGCGCGATATCCAAAGAGTTGGCTGGCGGGGAGTCTGGCCTGCGCCAGGTCTCGGTAATAAGTAAAAGGTCGATGTGGTGGTCCGAGATGGTATCGTGAATCAGGGCTGATTTATTGGTAATGGAGCGTGAGTTGAGTTGGCCGAGGCGGATGGATAAACGTGGATGTGAAGATTCTAAGAGGCGTGGCATCGAGAGTTTAGAGGAAATAGCTGGTTGAAGGTTGACCTGTGAAAAGCGGCCCCTACCGCCTCTGCAACCACGGTGCCGATGCAGTCTCTGACGTTGACCGCGAAGAAGCCCGAGGCCAGAGAGCGTCTTCAGGAGCGCGGATTCCAGGTGCAGGTGATGAAGAGATGGTGCGTGTCGAAGCCCTGTTATATCAACCCACGCTGTACGGGTGGTGGTGTTGGGGGGGGGGGGGCAGGATTCGGGTGGACTCCGATCAGCGGCTGTGCTGCCCGGAGCAGCTAGTCCAGGTAGTGGTGGCCAAGATCTATGCCGTCAGCACACGCTCCCACGCACGTGGCGGGTGCGTACACGCCTACGTGGACCTTCGCTGAGCACGCACGCGGGAGGACAAGACCACGCACGTGGCGTGTACGATGGAGCGGCCAGAAGAACACGCGGTCCAGTGGAGTAGCTGCCACGCGCTGTGCTCCAGGTCGCAGATGATGCGGCAGGGTGGACGAACCTCGCCGAGCTCCTATTCACTGGTGATGCTGGGCAGCAGGCAAACCCACTCTCTCGTGTTGAGCAGTGGACAGTCTGCGTCACGTTCCCACTCGCTGGTGGTGTTGAACAGTGAATGGAACACGGCGAGCTGCCACTTGCTGGCGATGCTGAGGCACGCCAAGCTCCCACTCACTGATATAGGCGGAAGAGGTGCTTTGTGAGGACGTCGCTGGCAGGAAATGGACCCGGGACGGCTGTTAAGCTGCACCGCATTAACAGTGCAGCCGGCGTCCTCCAGCCTCGTGCGTGGGAGCAGCCGGCCTCGTTCACCCACACAGCCCCTCAAGCTGTGCGAGGCGGCAGGTAAGCCGGGATGTGCCACACCGTGGCAGCCGGCATTTGACAAAACTCGGGCGTCGCCAAAGTAATACTGATGAAAATAACAATAATAAGAAAGATGTCGTGAAAGATGCAAGTAAAAAGAGCAGGGGATAGTGAAGACCAGAGGCGTCCTCTGGTCTAACACCGTTTGAGACGAGGCTCAAAAGAAAGCTGTCTCTGGTGTGGACCAATCAGTTTCAAGGACAATGCATATATTATCAGAGTATGTTTTTTGTTTGCATCCTAACCACAATCATTGTGGTTAATGCAGACATGATTCCTTGTAAAAGGTTTCAGTTAGGTGTTTTAACATCTTAACACCTGTTTTGTTGCCAGAAAAACAGGGGAAAACCCTATTATCAGAGATAGGATTGGTCGATTGATAAATCGGACATATTGAGAATGTAGTGACTCGCTTACCATTTTCTCTTTTTCACTCCTATCATTTTCTTTGCATTGTCCTCTGTTGTAACTTGCTGACTCGCCAATACTGGACATCTTTGTAAAAGAGCTTCATAGCTCATCGGATTCCTCCTGCAGACCAAATAAATATTCTGATTCTCAGTGCACCGCGCTGCTAGCCCAGTGCCCTGAGTCCGTTTCGCGGCCACAGCTAACATCAGTGGTGAGTGATAACTGAATTGGTTCTGGTTGACCCAACTTTCACCAAACCACACGGACCAGCGTGGTGAAGTATGATCACATCCCCCCCCCCCCACGACTTTCGTGGTTAAACAAGAATAATATGTTAAAGAGTCTACCTCTATTCTGTCACGTAAGCAGGTCCCAATGAGGCTGGACGAACTTCTTCCAATCTTTTTTTTATCTGCCTCGCCCGGTATGCAGGAGGCGTGGGTTCAATCAGGACCCTGACACCTGCTGTATATTTGGAGTCTGCATGTCTCTCCCCGTGTTCGCATCTAATTTTCTCGGGGTCCTCCGGTTTTTCCCGCCAACATTTATAAACTTGCGTTTAGAGTATTTGCTGCAATTTCCACTTCGTTGAGCTATGATTTGTGATGGCCAGGTCGCTTCTGAAAAAAAAAACAGCTTCATATCTCAGTGGGCCTTACCTGGTAAAGTAAAAACAATTAAGAGTTATAGTTTAATATAGAGGGAGCTCATGAGAACCACTCAACAGGGTATCTGTCCTACTCTTCCACGCTGGAGTACCCGCACATGACCCAAGCACACGCGGCCTGCTGATTGACCAACTGGTGTGTAGCCACATACACTGCGGGCTGAAAAGAGGCGGGGAAGAATAAACTTGCCCGTTGTTTGTGCTCGGAGATCGAGTCGAACTGGCAAATTCTGGATTGCAGAGTCCAGCGTGGTAACCATTATACCGTGGTTAACTTTTCCTTTGTGTTTGCCTTCCTCGTTTGTTGTAAGCATTGTGTAAAGAAAGAAAATTTCCGTGGGTGTCGCTAACCAGGGCCCGAGTTCTCAATGACGGCCTCCCAGAGCCTCTCGTCACTGGCATTCTGCGGAGGCACCCTGCGCTCACCCCGGCAGCGGCTGGGCCTCCTGGGTGGCTGCGCGCTCATGTCGTCCGTCTGCGGCGCCGCGCTCTTCTGCAGCCTCTGCTTCGGCTTTGGCTGCGGTCTCGCCACGTCGCTGCTCGTGGCCGGGCCGCTCGCCGCCGCTGCCGCCGTCCTCGCGTTCCTCTCCCGGCAGGTGCGGTGCCTGGCGGCGCTGGTCGTCCTCGCGAGCGGCGCCAAAGAGGCACGGGCCGCCCTCGCCTCGGCAGCCGTCGTCCTCGCGCTCACGCGCAGCCTGAGCAACGTGACGCGGAACATCGACATCCTCATCGATTGCTTCGAGTGCGTCGTCAAAGCCTCCCTGCAGGGCATCAAAGAGTTCGTGTGCACCGTCAAAGAGGCCGTCGATTTGCTCTATGCCATCACTAAAGAGATCATGAGAGCGCTCAACGACTTTTTCGGGGGCATGACGTTTAGCAAGATTGGGGACGAGCGCTCCGTGGGAACCGTGGTGACATGCAACGCGAGCCTGCAGGTCATCGAGGGCATCAGGAACTACACGGAGGGCATCTTCGCGCGGCTCAATGTTATCGCCGACGTGCTCTGTCATCCGCTGTTCAATGCCGTCCTGGTCATCCTCAACCTGCTGATCATGCTCATCTTGGCAGGCCACTACTTCAGGCGCTACAGGCAGAAGCTAAGTTTTGACAACGTCTACATCACCAACCAGTTCTGCAGCATTGACAGGGAGCTGAGGCGGCGTGGGGAGGAACACGTGCTCCCATTGCTGAAGGTCGAGCGGGAAAAATTGGTCATCCTCAGCTCCCTAGCACTGTCAAGCGTGGAACGACGGGCGATGGTGCGTTACGCCGTGCCGGTTATTACCAACGGCCTGCTCTGTGTCGTGGCCATTGTGGTGGACTACGGGGTGTTCCTGCTCGTCGATATCGTCTACAGGCACATGGACAGCATCGCACACGAGCACATATCATTGGATATGAACGTCGAGGTAGGAGAGCTGAAGAGTTTGTTTCTTTGGATCAGATCCTTAGATGTACGAGAGATAAATTGCATATTTACACGTTTTAAATTTGGGGGCTTTCAAAAAAATGTGAATTATTTTTACGTTTTCATATCATTTAAATTGTATAATAATGTAACGTGCCTTCGTGCTAGCGAAATTGACATCATCTGATGGCAGGTGACACAACAACCTTGTGGGAAATGGGTGGAAGTGATATCAAGGAAGTGGTCACTTCTTGCGAAATCACACCTTTAGATTAACATGACATAAAAACAAACTCGGTGAAAGGCCTTCATTTGCACATGTCTGAAGTGCAGAGAACTGGAGGAAAGGTGCTGCACATGGCGATGTGCTATTTTTCAGTGCCATTTCTTCATAGGCAAGGGTTTTATCTGAGCACTCGAGTCTCCTGTATTGGCCAAAGCTGTGTAATACAAAGAGGAACCTCTTAAAGAAGAACACACATAGGATAGATAATTTTTGTTTCCTGTCCTTTATATAATTCGCAATTGTTGGCACAAGATAAAAATAGAAATGACTGTCATGAATATCCTAAGGCAATGTTCGTCGGGAACATAAGGTCTGGATAATTAATGCTAACCACTCCTACTTCACATCCGCTTCACCTGAGTGACCTCATTTGAGCCTGACATTAAACTCAATGCATTTCTGAGTGTTGTATTAAGCTCATACGTCTGTCCGTCTATCGTCATTGTTCTACTAACTTTGGAAATGTTTTATTTTTGTTTATCCTTCTTTCAGGTCAACTTATTCATGATTGTGTTTTTCCCCGTGCTGAAGAGAAGCCAATCGTTTCAGAACAACCTGTCACTCATTGCCGACAAGTGTTTCGACAAAAATCGCCCTCCGACGCCTCCCGACAAGGGCACGATCGTCAAGGTGTGCGTGCTCTTCACTGCGCTCGCCCTCTTCTCGCTCTCGTCAGCCTTCATCAACCGGCTGCGGCGCAAGGTCGTCAGTCTATTCTACCCCGAGAGGGAGGTGCAGCGCATCCTGTATCTCCACAAGAAGATCTTGGACAAGCGCAGGAAACGGCCCAGGGAAACCATAAAACTGCACAGGACCTTACTCCAAAGGTGTGTGAGTAGGTCCCTATCAAATAATAAGTACATTCTGGTGTTCTCGTCATTCTCATCGGACGATGCTATCACGGATGTGCTACATTTTTCAGTGTGGTAGCTTTTGCAGTAGGCAGGCAATGTATATTCTAAATAAGAGTAATTTTCAGATATTTTTTTTTAAATTTTGACCATGTCACGGGACCTTTGACATCCACTGTGAAGTAGATACAGTAATGCATATCTCTGGTTAATATGCTAAGTGTTATCCAGGGTCGGCCATGTGTCTTGAAACACGAATCTTTGCAACAAGCGGCAAACGTGCCACTTCTCGGCTCTACTCTCTGAGAGCCTTTTCTGGTTAGCATTATAAACCAAAAATCTTTTATTTTACCAGAACTGTTTAAAGGAGCAGCACGACAGTGACTCAAAAAGGGCTCCCACAAGAGAGCTCAAGAGGACATTTTGGCCCACTCTTCCATGCTGGACAGATGGTGTGGAAAGACCCACACTTGACTCCACCACACGTGACCTGCCAATCAACTGTGGTGTACCAATTTACACTGTCGAGTGTGAACTATGTGTTTAACTTCTTTCGCACCGTATGTAGCCAACCGTGCTAATCATAGGTGGACAGAGGTGGAGAATATAATAAACTTTCCCAACTACCGTACTGGTAAATGTTACAAAATTGTCGACTTATGGATTACAAGTCAGTGTATTAACCTGTAAGCCAGGCAGTATCCTTCCCCAAAAAAGCCTCACTGAATCTAAACATAACTTTTCACGCACAATGAATCTGGCATGATCCACCTCTATAAACGAGTGTCCAGTGCAGCGTGTTAGAATCAAAATATATATGATGCGCTATAAAGCTTTTTTCACAGATGCCCAGTTGGGGCGGATCAGAAAGTTATAACAATTTAAACTTAACTAATTTTTAGTTTACCAGGTAAGGCTCACTGAGCTACGTAGCTCTTTTTCCGAAGCTACTTGGCCACAAATGATAGCTTAATGAAGTGGCTTAATACGTGGAAACTTATAGCAGCCATATACTCTTAAGCAAATGTTTCTAAATGTGGAGGGATAAATCGGAGAACCCGGAGAAAAATCCACACCACCACAGGGAGAACTTGCAAACTCCAAATATAGTATAGGAAAGGTAACCACATCACTAAAAATATACAAAAACTAAACTTTTATTTTACCAGGTAAAGCCCACTAGCTATTATCTTCTTTTTTCAGAGGTTACCTGGCCACAAATTATAGCTCAACCAAGTGGCTCATCATCTGGAAATGTATGGCAGCCATGGGCATTGGAAAATATAGGCAGCTGAATGTTGTCACACGATCACTTTGTGCGCTGTACCCGCCTTCATACGGGATTACAAAAAATATATACTTGTCCTAGCAATAAAGAATTAAAGCTTTCGTGACTGCATAAATTACTCATTGTTTTTTCGGTAAAGTCACGTATGTAGAAATGCCATAAAATTATATTAAAATAAATCAATCACGACGTTTCGATCGCAACACAAGCGATCTTCATCAGGTATAAAAAAAATCACGGAGGTAAATACAACCAGTATAGACAGAGTGAACAAATACGAGGTACAAATAAGCAGAAATACATATACAGAGACACCAAGAGGCAAGGAGAGGAAAGACGGACAGAGAAGCAAGGAAAAATAAAAAAGGGCCGGAGGAATGAAACGGGCCGGAGGAATGCCTTTTAAATAAGTGGAGGTGGGGGGGAGGGGCCGGAGAGAGAGGCCACGGCTGCAGAGGCGGGGGGAGGGGTAGGAGCGAGCAAAGGGGTGCACTACGTTTAGGACAGAATTGTAAAGGTAACTTCCCCGTAGAAGTGTGTTAATAAAGAATTAAAGCTTTCGTGACTGCATAAATTACTCGTTGTTTTTTTTCGGTAAAGTCACGTATGTAGAAATACCATAAAATTACATTAAAATAAATCAATCACGACGTTTCGACCGCAACACAAGCGATCTTCATCAGGTGTAACACACTTCTACGGGGAAGTTACCTTTACAATTCTGTCCGAAACGTAGTGCACCCCTTGCTCGCTCCTACCCCTCCCCCCGCCTCTGCTGCGTTGCAGCCCTTGCTTTCTCCTGCTCCTCCCCCCCGCCTCTGCAGCCGTGCCCTATCTCTCCGGCCCCCCCACCTCCACTTCTTATTTAAAAGGCTCCTGTTCATTCCCCCGGCCCTTTTTTCTTTTCCTTGCTTCTCTGTCCGTCTTTCCTCTCCTTGCCTCTTGGTGTCTCTGTATATGTATTTCTGCTGACTTGTACCTCGTATTTGTTCACTGTCTATGCTGGTTTGTTCAATCCAGAGGTTGAACACGAAATTTAACACTTCTGAAATTCGTGGTCCGCCAGGTGTCTGTGTTGTTGGCCTGACTGGTTGTGCATCGTATTTTTTGTTAGGTTTGTTGAATTCTCGTCTCTCATCTTCTTGTTGTATTTACCTCCGTGATTTTTTTTACACCTGAAGATCGCTTGTGTTGCGGTCGAAATGTCGTGATTGATTCATTTTAATATAATTTTATGGTATTTCTACATACGTGACTTTACCGAACAAAACAATGAGTTGTCCTAGCAATGTTTGATAAGGATCTTTTTGTCTTCGTGCATCAAAGTAAATGATTTCATGTTATTTATGCGCGACACATTTTTATTACACACGTATCCAATTATGGATCTGTGCAGAATATTAGCAGCATATACTCATCACGTGTGCTTCTCCCGATTTTTTGCAGTATAATGAAACGTGGCAAGCGGGACACCTCGAAGGAACTTCAGCCACTTGGGAGTTTCTAATCTATGTACCTTCTGCCTTCATCAGTGAGAGGCAGCAATCACGTAAACAAAAATCTTACCTTGTAGATATGTCCAGATTGTGTGTTAAAGCTGTCGAGCACATTTATAATCATTATCATTGCTTTTTCCTAGCTGTCGGCATCTCTCGATGTAACAATCCTGAAGGTTCCTGCACACGAGATGTTTTCATCACTTCATCTCCATAATGGGTGTCTGCTCGGGAATGTTCCCTTCTGTTGGCTGCCAATTCATTATTAACATTAACCACCCAGCTCCTAATGAGTGAAGTGTCCAGCCCAAGACCACTTAAGTTAATATTTCTGCCTCTTAAAATGCATGGTCTCGAATCCATTTACCCTTTTTCTGCCTCTCGGTGTAATTCCAAGCACGCATCTCTCTCCGGTTCTGCAACTGTTAAAACTTGTATCCCATGTACAGAATAAAATCTTCACGAACTATGCCTTTTCCTTCAACCTATCACTTGACTTGGCGATGACAAAACACTTTCTACAGATGTGCTCCTGCAGTGTGCTCCTCACATTTATTGGTATAACCAAGGGGGTCTGCAACCAAAATAAGAGCAATTTTTTTATCGAATTCGGTAAAAAAAACATTTCCAGAGCCGCAATGCACGTGGTGAATACGAGAGTCCCCAATAAATAACGTCAGGAAGCAGTCCTTACACAGCCGAACGGTTCTGGAACCGAACGTTGCCAACCCCTGGTATATCCTGTTGCACCGTTAATAACATAAACGCTCACTGTGCACCCGAATCAAACTGGCACGTGAACTGAATCAACGGAAGAGCGCAAAGTCTCGAGTGCCTTTGAGTATACACATAAAACCATTAATATGTAACTGCATCTACATCTTAAATGACACTATATGGTATGTAGCTGCAAAAATTCCAGTATTATTTCATGTGACCATATCGCCTGGAGTGTGCCGATCTCATCAGATTTTGGAAGCAAAGCAGTGAGCCTGGTTAGCACAGGCCGTTCGTTATATGCTGTGGGAGCTTCGTGGTGGGCAGAGGAGCAAAATCCATTGTTTCACTACTTCTATGTTCCCACGTCTGCCTTCGCCACTGACTAGTCTTCAACATGGTCAAATGTCTCAACCTGCACGGCTTAGGAGGCCCTCATCCAGCAATGAATTTATAAAAGGGCTATAGGTGTGTATGTACTTATTTAGTGTACACAATCAGGCCTTGTGACAACTGCTTATTAAGATGGCTCGACCTGTGATCACAACGTTGCGAGCTTAAATCCCAGTGGAGGGATAACTCAGCCCAAAAACCCAATCAGGGCTACGAAAACTATTACGGTGTTGTGAAGTCAACAGAAGTTGTTCAAGTAACACCTCAACCTCGACCAGATATTCAACTTTTCCCATTGGCTCAGGACTGTATGGCAGAAGGATAATTAAAACGCAATCTACATTAACAACCATTAAGTTTATAAAACTGTTCACTATAAGATGGGAGTATGGGTGAGTATTTAAAAAAGAAAAACAAGTCTAAAGCATATTTATTGCTGCAACAATTTCACAAAATATCAAAACACATCACAATAGAACGTATTTCATCTTATGCTATTGTGTCAAATATAGTTTGCCACACCACTGTGCAGAACACTTGCACTGCATTCCTGTACTTGTTCTTCAGTAATACAATGAGCCTGAGGTTGCAGTTTGCATCTTCGTTTGCTTGCAACTGACAGAAATTTAGTATTTGCTACACATACAAACGTGAAGTTCTGTGCATTTATGCACAAACGCTACCTCGAATTTAACGTACAAAATGACATGTAAATTGCATTAATGTTACTTTAAGATCTGTAGATTTCGCTTCATTTGATAAACAAGTCTAGTGGTACAAAAATGTACATGAGGACCAATTCTGAGATCTGGCCAAATTGCAATCAGACGTGATCCAGATGAAGTGGTAAAAGGGACCTGCCACTCATTTCCCATCGCACTGATCAAACCCTTAAAATTACAGAAGTACTATTTTAACTCAACCGTTCCGTTCATCAACTGCACTCCACAAGCTCAACACAACTTTTAATGTGCTATGCTATGGGTTTGCAAGGGCTAAGCGCAAACATATGCAGTGTCAACATACGAATGCACTACACCTTACCCACAGCAATGAGATCATCACCATCCCAGCAATGCCACCAGCAAAAAAAAACCCAACTGCGTACGACTGAGAGACGACTGGCCATGTGCACATGCCCTGTTGGCTCAAGTCTTATGGAATCCGGCTCTGGTGCAGTGCTGCACAAACCTCGCGACACGGACATTTACTTAAGCTTGGGATGTACAAAACGCAGGATACAAGAGTATACTCAAAGATAACGTGGGCAGACATTCAATGCCCTGCATATAAATGGGGATTTATTTGCAGACCCCTCAAAATTTTAACGTTTAAAATAAATTAATTTAAAATCACACTTGAAACCCACTTGAACAGAACTCAATGCAATGCAGACCAGTTGTCAGTTACGTGTGCACGCTGTGTGGAAATGTCACGTGCCAGAGTCCCAGTTAAGAACTATACTGCACAGCATTTAATGGTAGCACTAGATTGTGCGTTGCAGAAATCGCTCGTTGATCTTCGTCAGTTTCGGTGTTTTTTTCTCCAACTTTCCTTTGTATTTTCATCATGTAAAAAGTAAGCTAAATAAAATTACAAGCTGTAAATGTCCTCAATTTGCCCACGATGGAAATAGCAGGGTTTTGTTGAAAAAAACCCCAGATATTTCCGGGGCACCCATTCCTTTAATTTTATAGTATTTCTTAGACACACCTTAGCATAAAAAAATTCCCAGAAAGCACAATGGCTCAGCACTAGACAATTCCACAGTGGCAGACCTCTATAAAGGTGTGAACACAGGGGGTTCCGTAAGGACAAAGAAATGATTCTCCCACAGGGGTTGACTTTGTTCTCAGGTATTAATATGGGTGTTTTGGTTCGGCACCCAACAGAATCAGGAAACGCACCAAAGAACAAGACTGTCACAAATCTGACTTTTTTTTACTTACACGCATTAATATGCTCTACTTTCCTGTGGCCAGATTACCATGTTGCCAACAGACAACTGCGTTATCACCACCGGACCACGTGCACCAGCCAGCCGAACCCCCACTAGGAGCGACGGCTACAGTTTTTGCCACAATTACATCATCCACCAATCTCTGCAGGTCATGCGTCAGCCCCATTCTCCACAGGCTCTTCCGCTGCCGGTTTCGTCTCCTCTTCGAGTTTCTGTTCAACAGAAAATAAGACGTTGGTGAAACAAAGCCTTGGGCCAATGATTGATTTTGCGCTCAGCTCACAAAGGATCATGGTCTCTTTAATGCTGTCAATGCGAACCATAAGCACTTGCGTCCCATCAAATTTTGTTCTGTGTCTCGTGATTATCATACAATTGCGGTTCTTATTTTACAAAGGTGTAAAATGAAGCAACCCAAATATGTAATGTGTAATATGAACTGACATCCATTGCCTCAATATGGCTGAAACCCACTATACACCACACATCATGATGCAGCTGTAGTGCCAAGTTTTTCCACCTTGTCTCGAAAGTTATGGCAGTGATGTCACGATGCACGTCATGAGGGCGCTTTTGCGGCGCTGCTTAGTCATGTGTGATGACCCACAGCCTAGGTAAAACACATCTAGGAGCACGTATGGTTTTTGTGTTGCATTTTCTTTTAATATAATGAATTGGGCTTTAACAGACGCTCAGACAGCAAGGAGACGTGGCGATAATGAGCTCACCTCCTTGACAGCGCCGGTGATGCCGGCCAGCAGGTTGGAGAGGCCAAATGAGGTGCTCTGCAGCAGCTTGGTGAAGGCGCTGTGGCGCTGCTCTAGGCTCCGTAGCTTGTCCTCCACCCCGCTCAAACGGCCGTTTGTCTCCTTCAGCTCCAGCGACAGCGCCAGGTTCGTGTCCCCGGTGGCACTCATGCTGGCGTTGAGCTCCTCTGCACAAGTGAGAAATTGCCGAAACCGGGACGTTTCAGAAGTTTAAACGGAGTCCTTTATGTGCCAGACCTTGCCCTCGTGGAACTATGGCAGAGAGGGTAACTCATAATTGTGAAGTTGTAAGTTTTAATCCCAGCCTTCAACTCGCTTGGTCAAGCATCATTGAGGGGTTCATAAAATTATCATACATTTGTGGAAAGTCAGCAGAGGTTGTACTATGACTTGAATTTAAAGACACATTTACTCATTTAAAAAAAAATTATGTACGTAAAAATGTCCTGCATGGGATACCTACTCGTTATCATCCACCTTGTTAATCTTACAAAAAACAATATCACACACACAACTTTGAGGAAATGCCAAATGCTTACCCATCTTCAGCTGTAGAGCCTGATACTGGCACTCCAGGTCGTCGCGCGCTCGCTCGCTCCGCTCCAGTTTTTGCAGGAGGCTGCCCACATCCACCAGCGCCCCCTGATAGGTGACCATGCTGGACTGAATTTCCGCCTCGCCAGGCTTCCTCTTTGCCGCAACCCTGCTGAGCGTGAAGGGCAGCATAGGCCTGTTTCCTGCGTCGTGGCCATACACACATGGCACGGGCAAGGTCACACGTCGCTATCGCGGCCGTCATCCAGCAGCAGACTGACAAAAGGGACCGTAACGTGAGCACTTAGAGACATTTAAGTGGGGTGTGGTCAGACTCAGATAACCTCCCCCCCACCTTGCGCGAGAATTTCCTCCAACGTGGAGCTTTGTTCGGGCCGCGTCTCGCTCACCGACTCTCCCTCCAAGGCGTCCGTCAGCTTGCGGTAGTTACACACGTCGCGTACCATCACTTTGGACAGCAGCTTCTTGATCTGGAATGCAGATGAAACGTCAACACCGTGACTGCCGCCCCCCAAGTGGGGTGTGCAATCCACGACAATGAATATTCGGCGATATTTTCAGGACCGCTCCTTAATATCATTCAGACCATCCACGTTTAAATGATTGTGGCGGAGGATGCAGGAGATGGGTACATGGGCACATTGTCATGCAAGCCATTAGGTAACCCAGTTTTAAATTTGTAATTACACCTGCAGGTCATGGGGGTTATTTAACCATATTTTACAATGCTGGTCAGTGTGAATTAAAAACCCAGAGCATTCATTTGAGAGCAAAGATGTACAGTAAAACAAGGTAGTTTGACAGCCTTTAAGACTTGTTATGAAAGGTGGTAAACTATACAAGTACTATCCATGCTCAAACCAGCTTAACTTCCGAGAAATTACATTAGGCACATTCCAGGCGTTTTGGTCAAAGGCTCATTCGTCATAGCAAATGTGTCACTAAATTTATACAGAGCCACGTTACGGGAAGGTACAAATTAGGCAAGAGTCGTGCAGTGCATTAACTTTGGGGATGGCAGGTGTGTCTATTCGTACTTGCGCTCGTGACATGTGCAGACCCAGCGTGTACAGGATTTC